TTCTGCTCACCCAGTTATTCTTTCCTGCTCCCCCCAGTCCCATATATGATTGTTTTTTAACACCCTTAGTATTCTCTGTAATAATAAACTGAACACTAGGCCAGGCGGTGGTGGGCCACGGCATTAGAGGCTGATTTAAGGACCCCAACAATGGAAATAAGTAGGATGGGGCAACAGTCCAAGGCCTGGTGTGAAAGCAGAGCCCGTTGGGTTTACTCGTCTGCTTGTGTCACAATCACAGAGCTCTGCTGTGTTTGTCACTTTGGTTCAGAAAACTCCCATTAACCTTTCACTTTCTTGGACCAGCTTTGCTTATGGACTGGAGGGGGTGGTAGATCTGTGTCTAGCGCAGGCAGACGCCCCCCCTCTCAGAAAAGGGAACACTCCTTAGATCATGCTTGTAACCCACTGAGGGCTGCTTTGCTCTTTCCCGTCCCGCGAAGGCAGCAGGAGCTCTGAGGCAGCCGGGTGCAGCGCTTAGACACTCTGCTGTGGGGAATCGCTGCCTCTGCTCCTTAGACCTCCTGGCCTTCGCCGTTGTGCAGCAAGGACGTACGATCAGCAATGAGGCTGGCTTGTGTTTAAAGCTCCTGTACGGAGGGCTCCCTCCTACAACGGTCCCCAGGCACCCTCAGCAGCCTCCTGGCTCTTAGAACTGGGACCAAACTTACTCTTCCCTAGTTACAGGTAGTAGGACTGCCCCGCTGCCAGGCTCATGGGTGCACGGAGCTCTCCTGCGGATTAAATATTGAAGCTCCAGCAAGACTTAAAAGGTAAGGGGTTGGGTGTGTGTGTGGAGTGGACAACTAAAGGATCAATAACTGTCGGAGGGAAAGGATAGGGTGGAGAGGGGGTTGGGAGTGAAACATTCCCCAATTGTACTAGGGGGTAAGGGGTGTGAAACTGACAACTGCACGACCTAGACTCTCTGGGCACTGGTGAATTCCACCTCCTGTGAGGTGTCCCGGACTCCGTGCCACTGGCCCCACCAAAGCTTACGACTTTTGCTCTCCTCACACTCTTCCTACTCACAAAAATATCATTTCAGCAGCTGCGTGGTGCTGCGGTCTGCTTCTCTAAACCACAAGCTGTGGGGCTGGAAAGCCTGGGTAGAGGCCAAAGCAGGAGCAGTCCCTCTAGTAAGTTTGCTAGTGGTGTGGCCAGTCACAAACTTCCCTGGGAAGACACTTCCATAGGCCAAGCCACATTGCCAGGAAAACGTAGTTGGTAATCAGGGAGATTTGCAAGGATACTCCAGAGCTGGGTGTCATGGGGCTGCAGCGAGGTCCTTTGAGGGATATTATGCAAAACGTCCAGAATAAAACAGGACTGGACTCTCAGAAGAAAAGGAAGCCAGTGTGTGGATGCACATCAGATGCTACTAGCCAATGCGCTGGTTCAACCAAAGCAAAGCCACTAACATTGAAGGCCTCTTAGAGCCAGTAAATGGGAAACTGGCTTGCTTGGTCTACTCCAGTACAGAGTGGACCGAATTGGGATGGGATGGTGGGTCCTCCTTGTTACCTCAGGAACCGCTGTAGTGGGGGCATGACGCGAGTCTGTTTCCGTATCAGATCCAGTCCTGGCCCCTGAAAAGGGGGTTGGGGGCTCAAGACATTCACTGCTCTTTGGGGGAGAGGGGGAATATGGCCTATATCTGGAGAGGCAAAGGAACTGGACTGGATTCATCAGCCAGACGGCCTTGTGGTAAGCAGCAGATACGTTGGCCTTTGGGGCACCTTTGGTCCTTGTTTGGAATGGATTCAGTCTCTCTCTTAGCTGACGTACTTCCCCTCTTAGCTGTGTATGACGCTGGAAGGGGGTGAGAGAGCACTTCCCTCCCCCCCCCTTCCCCCTGGGCCAGCTACTCACCCATCCCACGGGCACCAGTGACTGAGATTATCTCAAGGGGTTTCATGGCGAAGCCAGACACTCAGTGTTTCAGCTGGCTCTCACCCTGGGTGTGCTCCTGGCTAGCGTTTACCAGGCTTCCTGTTAGCCCACAACTCCCCACTGCCCCAGACTTTATAGCAACTCGGGGCCCTGAGACAGGCTCAAATGCCCTTTTTCCTCTCAGCCCAATGCCTAGTTAACACTATGACATGGGACCGCTTCAACAGGGCAGAGCGTGAGCGCCAGAGCCTCAAGGTCTGGCTTCCCCCAGGGTTAGGCTCGGCCCCCGGAGAGTGGGAGAGCCAAGTTTGAGGCTGACTCAGAGTTGATGGCAGCTTTTGCTGGAGCGTCCCAGCCTCTGGGCTGTGTTGGAGGGGTGGTGCTGCCTGGTGTGAAAAGACTGGGGCATGGTCTCGTTTGTGCCAGGAAGCAAAGCACTGCAGGCACACGCCCCCATATAAGAGTGCTGCTCAGGCAGTCTAGACAATTTCATACACACATATCTAGGTAGGGACTTAAACCTGACACTCATACAGCCCAGCTGAGGGCCACTACTACCGGGCTAGAAAGTCAACTGCTTGTGCTGGGTCTCTGGCCCAGTGTCAATGGGGGAGATTGACAGTGCCCAGCTAGGCAATTCTCTCTGGCCCGGGGGTTAAGGCCCAAGCTGGGGTGTGGGAGAGCCTGGTCCCAGTGCCCTACTCCCTTGGCAGGGCCACAAAGGTGGGGCTCTGGTTGTGTTAGCTACTGGTGGAGTGCCCCACTGGCAGAGTTTATAGCCACAACGTTTCTATGAGGCAACTGTGTTTTGGGCACAGACGCTATGCTCTGAAGCGACCCACCTGGTTTGAGATGCTCACTGCCTCCACAGCACTCAGCGGGCACCCTAGCAAACTCCCATCCTGCCCATGCCTGGTAAATCATCTAACCACGGGCCTAGCAAGGGACTCCCACACAGCTCCCTTGTTTCTCGGTGGAGCCCAATTCCTATAACTATAAAGTGGAACAAAATCTCCCCTGGTGAAGAAGACCTTCCTGCTGTGAGTTCCCCTGTAGCCCTCTGGTTACGCTCTGCAGCTGGGATATAGGCAAGCCTGGTTTGAGGCTGCATCCTGACTCAGAGGGAGGGGGTCTGGTTTTACTTTTAATTAAATATTAATTGGCCCCCATCCCAAGGACTGACCCCCTGCTCCCAAAGAGGTGGGAGATCCTTGTTTAAACCCCCTCCCTTTCCCAGAAAGACAATGGCTCCTGCAAAGGAGACGGGATTTAAACAAAGACCCCCCCCAGTCACCTGGGAGAGAGGAAATCCCTGTCCAAACCCCTCCTGAGGGGGCCGAGGGGAGACTGGCACTAGGCTCCCCCACAACACAGGCAAGTACCCTAACCACTGGACTACAGCGCGCTCCTAACCCTTGGGTGGGCCCACCTAATACTGAATGGAAGTGGCCTAGCGTCAACAGGCAAGGACAAGGATAAGAGCACTTAACCAACTCTTCCTCTCAGCAAGCAGAGGCAGGAACTGATCCAGCATGTCCAGGGCTGGCTCCAGGGTTTTTGCCGCCCCAAGCGGCGGAAAAAACAAACAAACCGCGATCGCGATCCGCGGCAGCTCCACTGCGCCGCTTTCTTCTTCGGCGGCAGGTCCTTCCCTCCGAGAGGGAACGAGGGACCCTCTGCTGAATTGCCGCCTAAGAGCCCAACGTGCCGCCCCTTCCCCTTGGCCGCCCCAAGCATCTGCTTGCTCAGCTGGTGCCTGGAGCCAGCCCTGAGCATGTCCAACATCTCAGGGTCTGGCCCAGACCCCTGAGCTAGAGGCAGCTTCTGACTTTGCTTGGCCCCAATAACAGTTAATTAAAGTGGAACAGCTTCAAGCGGCAGGCTGGAGCGAGCTCTCTCATCACACTGCCGCTCCAGTGCCACATTTGAGCAGCTCACTGCATGGGTCACATGCAGCCATATGGGTAGAAACACTGGGGGGGATTTGCACCTGCCTCACTAACACCCCAGCTCCACCCTCTCGCCTTAAGTTCTGAAGACCTTGTACCTTAAACCCTCCCCTGGGACGTATCTGGCTCTGGACATGCATCTTCAGAAGACGTACAGTAGTGCAATGCGTGATGGGACATGTATGCAACTCCTCCCAGAGCTGCTTGCATTTAAGACGTTGTTTAGCCTACATGGATGGCTTTAAGCAGCCATTTTGGCAAATCAACCTAGATTCTGCCTGATCGGGTGGGCCCGTCTCAAGTCCAACTGCTACTGTAAGCCTGCCTCGCAATGGTCATTTGCATAAATATCCCATGATGCTGTTTTTCAAAACCAAGACTCTCTTGTGCTCTGTCCTGCACTGAGATTGGAATTGTGAACGTTCAGTTATCAAAGACATGCACCCGCGGTGTAACCGCTCCCCTTCTCTGGCAATCACACGGGGGGCTGCAAGGTTCAATACCCTACCTAGCTGCCACAGGGTGGCAATAGCCCAGGGTCTGTATGCCCAGCAATGCACCTGTCGCACCAGAAGAAACTAAACCTTAAGATGTTCAATGGAGCCTTGGACGTTCCAGTCCCAACGCGGCTGCTCTCTCGCTTCTCTGGGCGGCTGATGGGAGTCAAAGCAGTCGTACGAAGGCACCCAGATGTTCATCACAGCTCTTCTCCACCGACCAGCCTAGTCCAGCTGTACGTATCCCCAAAGCAAGCACAGTGTATCTGGTCAACTCACATTTTCAGGCTCAGCTGTCACCTTAGCACAATGTTTGAAGGTCCCAGTGTAAAACCGAAGAGAAAGGAAGACGATGCCCTGCCACGGCCTGGCGCCTCTGGGACCCACGGCAGAAGCTGGCTTTACGCTTTCAAAGAACAGCACGTAGAAACGATGAGACATGCAGCGGAAGGAAGCGACTTTGCAGAATGAAAAGAACCATCCCTGTCTTTAACCATTTCCCCTGACAGCGCTCAGGACTGTCTGGAAACCCTTCCACAGTCACCAAAGGGTAGTGCAGCTTAAAACAAAATGGAAGCAAAAACCAAAGGTTACATAACTGAGGTATCGATAGCTCTGGGTCGCTTAGAATGTCTGTAGATTATGCTGGGCTATGGAGCTTCTATTTGTTCTTCCCGAGCGATGCGTCCACCTCTTCTTCCGGCTTCAGGGAGTGCCACTGGGCGATGGGCCGCCTGGGGTTAGCCAGCATGTCGGACCAATGCCGCAGCTCCGTGCCACTGGCGTTGGAGCCAACAAATACTTTGCCGATGGCTTCATTCTTCCCCAGCTTGTCGTAATCCAGGACGGTGATCACCACCTGCACTTTCTGGGGTACACACAAATGCTGTGTTATTACCAACATCGCAGCTGCAAAATGGCCTGATGCCACTGAGAACCCAGTGGGAATCTATTGTAGACAAGATTCCCCTGTCCATCATTGGACAGGCTGGGAGACGGGTACTAGCCTGTCCAATGATTCCTGATGGATCTGAGCACCTGTTCCCATGGGAATCATGTTCCCAACTCCCCCAGGCAGCTAGGCAAAGCTCAGCCTGTATCTTCAGACAGCTCTCCCTTCTCATTTTAGGGGCAATGGATATTAAAGGGGCAGGTCTGCTCTGAAAAGGGGCTAGGTAATATTGACAGAACATCTGGTCCCCATGTCCGAATTTAGCTTCTGAAGCAAGTTCTTCCTCTTCCTCGAGCTAGGCAGAGCCGGTGCAGCTAAGGGCTTATCCACACCCAAATGTTGCACCATTTTAACTCCACTGGTACAGTTAGCGATACAAACCCCCTAGCATGGATGCCGTGATAACAATATAAAGGTGCTAATACCAGCATCGCTAAACCTGTAGGCTGGGTGAAGGCACCTTTATACCAGAGTAACTGCACCCATCCTACGGCTTGTGCTGGTATAACTATTTCAGTAAAAAAAAAAAATCGCACCCAGCAGAGTTATACTGGGCCACAAGCTGGTGGAGAGCAGGCCTGCGTTCCCATTGGTTACACTCTGCACACCATTAAAAGTCACACCATGTAGCAGGGAAGGGTGTCACCAAGGTCAGAGCATGACGGGGCCAGGGCTGTGCTGGGGGCCTCAGGGGCAGTGCGTGAAGGGGATGGGGCTGTGCAGGGGTCACTAGTGAAGGGCCTGATGCTGTTATGGGGTTCACCAAGGCCAGAGGGTGAAGGGACCAGAACCGCATGGGGGCTGCCGAGGGCAGAGTGCAGTGGGCTCAGTGATCTCCAAGGGCAGCAGATGAAAAGACCAGGGCCACGTGGGGGTCACCGAGGGCAGTGGGGATGGGGGTCACCAATGGCCTCATTTGCCCAGAAGAGCCTTTCATTACAGGCGATGAAGCAAGAGGAGAAAAGGACGCAGCTTGACTTGCTTAGGGTCCTAAATATGTATGTAGGTGCTTAGCTTTAGGTCCCTCCTTTGAGCCATTTGGCCTCAGATCCCAGGCTTGGGGGTTTGCAGGGCTGGTAGGCCAGGAGAAAACCCAACTTTCTGCGTGGAAGCTGGGCAGGCCGGCCCTGGAGCAGCTGAGAGACAATAGCATAGGGCCTCTACTCTAGCCGTGCTTTGACCAGCACCAGTGTCTTTGTCTCACTAGCTCTGCCCCTCTGGCTGCCGTTAGCACAGGTTATTTCTGAAGGTGGTGATGGACCTTACTGGCAGGAGTAACCCTCGCTGCAGGGGGCTAAGGACTAATGGTTGTAATTTGCAACAAGGGGGTTCATTTGCAGAGCTATGGAGCAGCCACAGCTTCGGCCGAGGCCAATGGGAGCTCCAGGCGCCCAGTGACTCTGACATTCAGGCCCCAGTGATAGTGGTAGCATTTGCCCAGCGTAGCTCCTGGCTTTCTGTGCTGCCTCTTGCGTTCAAAGCATCCACCCTCATTACAGAGCAGGGACACGTCCGTCTGGAGGAGCTGAGCTCCTGCTCAGAACTAGCATGTATGAAACGCTGGCTCCCATCTCTCCATCTCCTCCGCTGCTCAGGGGATGGATGTGTCTAGATCAGGGGCAGGCAAACTTTTTGGCCTGAGGGCCACATCGGGTTTCTGAAATTGTATGGAGGGCCGGTTAGTGGAGGCTGTGCCTCCCCAAACAGCCAGGCGTGGCCCGGCCCCGCCCCCTATCCGACCCCCCCTGCTTCTCGCCCCCTGACGACCTCCCCGGGACTCCTGCCCCATCCACCCCTCCCTGTCCCCTGACCGCCCCCTGCCCGCCCCCTGCCACCCAATCCACCCCCCGGGACTCTGCCCCATCCAACCACCCCTTCTTCCTGTCCCCTGACCGCCCCCGAAACTCCTGCTCCTGACTGCCCCCTGCCGCCCCATCTAACCTCCGCTCCTTCCTTCCCCCCCCAGAACTCCCGCCACCATTCAAGCCCCGTTTCCTGCCCTCTGACCGCACCGACCCCATCCACACACCCCGCCCCCTGACCACCACCCCAAACTCCCCTGCCCTCTATCCAACCCCCCCTGCTCCCTGCCCCCTTACCTGGAGCACCGGTGGCTGGCGGCGCTACAGCTGCGCCGCCCAGAGCACCAGGACAGGCAGCCACGCCACCGCGCAGCACAGAGCACTGGGTCAGGCTGCAGCTCTGCAAGAGCATTGCGCCGGCGGCACGGCGAGCTGAGGCTGCGGAGGAGGGAGAACAGCGGGGGAGGGGCCAGGGGCCAGCAGGAGGGTCCCGCGGGCAGTAGTTTGCCCACCTCTGGTCTAGATCATCTGAAGGCCTGGGTGGTCACCTTATATGGGTGGATGTCATGGGGGAAGGGTCTGATCCCTCCAATCAGAGGATCTCAACTCAGTCATGTGAGCTGTCACTCACCCGTCTCTATGCCCCACCCCAAACCTCCCAAGATGAGAATTTCAGCTCAGGAACCTGTATCTGCTCAAAGGGGATCTCGAAGCTGAAGGACTCATTGAAGTAAGGGTTCAGGGTCTTCTTCTTCACAGTGGTCTTCTTCTTCTTCAGCCTCTTGCCATTCTGCATCAGGTGGATCTTCACATACGGATCTGCAGGGAGAGCCCAAAGCGGGAGAGGTCAGAGCCAGCCCTACCTGTGGGCATACAGGAGCACAGAGACTGTAGAGGGCAGGGTAGCCAGGCTGGGTTTATCTGTGACTCGGGGGTATGAGCTGGCAGAGTGCATCATGCAATGTAGCGACCTGCTGTCAAATCAGGAGTGGGCGGGAACAATAAGCACACCCCATTTCTCTATCTGGCTACTGTTAAGTACCTACATGGGGGGAAGATACCTGAGAGCACAGGGCTCTTCAATCTAGCAGACAGCTCGGGTCCTGCCAGGAAGACGGGCAGCCGTGATGGAAGCCGTGCCTGTTGCAGCTGCTCCCGAACGACCACTTGGGCTTGATTCCTGTGTCTCAGGAAGTCCTTGACCCCAGAGCGAGCCGTGTCCATATTCCTTTGCACTGAGGTCAGTGCATACACAGGCAATGGGGAGCCCAGCCCCACAGAAAGTCAAAGGGCACACAGGGAGCAAGACCCGCTCCCTCCCTTGGGGGCTGGGGGGCAGCCACCCGCGGAGATGATGGCCTCAAGACAATAAGATGAAGGCTACTGGAGCACTGTTTTGCAGAGGGAGCTCTCTGACCCTCTGTTCCTAAAGCTCATGCTTCAAGCCAGTCGCCTGCAGGCGTCAGGGAGGAATTGCCCCCCCCCCCCCCATGTATGCAGGGGAGTGGTCTCCGTCCTTTGAAGCAGCAAGGATGGCCACGGCTGGAGACGGAACATTGGGTGGGGTGAGCCAGGGCTCTGAGCTGGCATCGATCATTCTCTCGCTCAGGTGCTTGACTGCAGTGTGTGGGTCACTTGCCTGGATTATCTGGGTCTCTCTCACATAATCAGTTCCCTGCCATTGCAGGGGCCTTGTGCACTGGTGCACCTCAGTCCCGCCTGTTCTCTGTCGGTGGCACAACAGTCTAGTCTCCTCTGGGCTGGAACACTTGGAGCTAATTTCGGTTGTTGGGTTTAAGGTGCGGGTGCTGGGTGGTCTGTGAGCTACAGGAGCTCAGACTAGATGATCTGTGTGGTCCCTTCTGGCCTTAAGCTGTATGACTCCATAACCCCACCAGACACAGCACTCAGCACCTGGGTTTCTGATTTAAAGGTGCTGAGCCCTGGGCAGGAATTCTGCCTGGGGGGGGGCGGTTAGTCAGCAGCGGTATTGGGCTGGTGTGCGAGATCAGGAGCACCATCTGGTGCTGGAAGGTGGCTCTGCTCTTACCTGAGAGACCCCCGACATCCATCTTTTTCAGGTTCTTGGCTTCCAGGATGCAGACGGTGAGTTTCCCGGCGGTGGGCACGTACCGTAGCGAGATGCAGATATCTCCCAGCTTCTCTGGCTGTGGAGCAAGGGGGAAAGCAGAGGTCAGTGCTTTTCCGTGCCCTGGTATCCTGGGATATTTGCACTGAGAATCAATCCCTCGGGAAACCATGGGAGGAGATCCAAGAACCCCTTCACCCATCGAGCTAGCCCCTGCATTGGACACCACACTGCATCACTGGTGCAGGCTGGCAGGAGGTCCATGACAGTGCCAGTCCCCAGCTGGTGGGAGAGGCCAGATCAGTTCTAGCAGTTTTTACCAGATTTAAGGCAGGGCTTTTGCACAAGGAAGACACCTTGCCGCGGACAGTGGGACCTGAGTTCTGTGCAGGTCTCAGGGCACAGCCAAAGCCCATGTTAAGCTGGGGTTTCTCCCCATTACTGGGCCCCCCAGCTCAACATGAACTGACACACAGAGTAGTATTTACCGGCTCCTGCCGTCAGACCACTGTACCAACAGTACTGAGTTCGGCCTCGCAACCCTTCCTGTGAGGTGCATCACTATCATTAACCCCACTGTGCAACTGGGAAAACCAAGGCACAGAGGGGCGGTGACATGGCAAAGTCAGACCTAAAACCCAATTCTGCTGACTGCCAGCCACATCACCCCACCACTTCTTTCTTCCTTAGCATTCATCAATGGAGCCTCCCATTTCCTGGGAGGTCCATAAGCATTATATTGACTTAGCGAGGCTAAGTGACTTCCCAAGGTCACACACCATGGCAATGGCGGACCTGGGAATAGAACCCAGGAGTCCTAACATGTAGCTGCGAGACCCTACTCACTTGCCAGAGCTGGGAATAGACCCCAGGAACTTTGTCCCTTGCTCCCACCACTAACCCACTCTCCTGCAGGTTATCGATCTCCCGTTGCAGGATGGATCCTCTTTCTCCCCCCTTCTCCCCCCAGTACTCGCCTGCAAAGACAACTCTTATAAGGACCTTGAAAGCACAGCCCACCCTTGAGGCTTAGCAGCTGCCTGATGACCCCAAATCCTGACACTTTGCAGCACATTTTCTGAACCCACCTCCTGCTGGCCAGACACCCCCCCCCCACCTTGCCCTCCCATCTCACCTCCTCCTTCTCACCACCCTGCAGGTCTCTCCACTCCTCAATGGGCTGGCCCAGGTCCACTGTGTTCATGGGCACCTTGACCTCCCCAATGATGTCGTGCTTGGAGAAGCGATCAAAGTCGTAGATGGCCATCACCAAGGTTTTTCCGCCCAGCTCTTGGTAGGGAACCTGTTATGAAGAAGGACACTTGCAAACCATTGCCATAGCCACATGGGGCCTGGTGTAAGGAAGGATCTGATTGGCTGACGAAGGATCCGACAAGCGCTCATGCACCGCAGTGACTAAGGCTGGGACCCCTTCACTGGTTCTTGCAATGAGGGGCCAGAATTGCTGGGTCAGAGCAATAGCACCGCTCAGCCTCACAGCTGCACATGTAGTGTGGGCCAAGGGCTCTGGTCGGTACTTATAACTTCGCAATCTGGGCAACTGCCTTGGTTCTCGTTCAACATGCTGGTAAATTATTTACTGGGGGCAGCTCCTCTACCGGGGAGGTGCAGATCCTCCTGCAGTTCCTGTTTGGGGCAGGGGCAGAAGGCTGGGATACATCCCTGGCTGGAAGACAGACAGGAGTTCTGCCCTTCCGACAGTATTACACTGCCTTAACAGCAAGGCTAAGGGGCTCCTCATGGTCACACACCATGGCAATGGCAGACCTGGGAACAGAACCCAGGACAACTGTCCCCTGCAGGACAGAGTGGGGTCTAGCAACTGGGGCTGGGGACCACTGTGCTGGGGGAACTGGAAAGGGTCTCACCTTGAAGACGAAGGTCTCATTGAAGGCTGGGTTGAGGGTCTTCTTCTGCACTTTGGTCTCGTATTTCTTCTTCTTGTCCGGGAGCAGGAAGACTTTGACGTACGGGTCCGAGGTGCCGCCCATATCCAGCGCCGGGAGCTCGGCCGCTTGGAGAATGCCCACCGTCAGCTGGAGGGGGAAGAGAGATGTTTCCCTCAGTGAGACAGCTCAGCAAGACGCCGCTCCCACTCCACACTGCATGGAAAAGATCCCCAGTGGATCTTCCAGCTCCACATTCTTTCTGCCCCTGGCCAGTCAGGGATGGCGCTTGGTCACCCTCCCCCACACCCTGCTGCAACTGGGGGCAGGAGATCGCTTGCTGAGCCGTGTATTCCCACAGACAGTGCTCTCTCTGTGCTGACGGTGGGCTTGCCGGCTCAGGGCCCAGTGGAGAGGCACCTTCCATCCATCTTCCCCTTCCTCACATCCCAGGGTGCTTGGGGAGTGCTAGAAGGGGCCCTTTCAAAAGGCATGTGGGACAATCATGGTGAGGATAAATTCCCTCCCCACATCTCTGCCCTTTGCAGGCACCTGTGCCACTCAGAGGCTGGTGTTCACCCTGTGCTCTTCGACTGGAGTTTCCAAGGGTGAGTCCTTCACTCGGACCCTCTCCCCACAGCTCTCCCACACTGCCCTGCCCTCCTTCCCCAACCTCCCCTCTCCTGCCCATGTCACCTGGTTAGCCTGGAAATCATAGTCCAGCGAGAACTGCAGCTTGCCCAGGTTCTCTGGCTCCTTCTCCTCCTCCTCGCCTTCTCCCTCCGTCAGGCCCATCTCCGCGTCGTCGTCGTCCTGTTTGTTCTGCAGAGGACACAAAGCCTGCCTGCTCAGCTATGAGGCTTCAGACCCTGCCGTCCGATCACACGCGCACAGCTCTTCCCCAGCTCGGTGCCTCGGGGATTCCCAGCCTCAGAATTCATGCACCACTGTCACCGACTGAGAAGAAGCAGGAGGCTGAACTGGGGTTCTGTTCAGTGGACTCCCCAGAGACACTACCGCCCTCTACTGGAGGGACAGCAAGACCCTGTTCTACTGTGTAACCGGAGCCTGAACACAAGTGAGCTTTGGGAGCAGAAGGACCTGAGATCTAGCTGCCCTGATGGCTGTGGAGCCCTGGCAGCATAGCAATGGCTGGGAAGTAACGGATCTGTTACAGAAAACAGCACTGCCGGGAAAGCAGGCATGGGAGATGCCGCTGCAAAGCACGGAGGCCACTGGGTGGTCAGCACTGGCTAGACCTAAAGGGGAGGGAGAGGTTACTTACTTCCTATGGTACCTGGAGTTCTTTGAGATGTCTTGTCCCAGTGGGTGCTCCATGGGAGGATGTGCGTGCACTCGGGCACTCTTGACTAGAGATTTTTTCGTTAGCAGTGTCTGCGGGTCTGTGCCTGTGCCGTACGCCTCCTCATGCTCCAGCATGAGGGCATATAGGGAGGAGTGGACCCGCGCCACTCCAGTTCCTTCTCAACCTCACAGAAGCAGAGGGAAAGGAGGGCAGTGGGTGAAGCATCCATAGGGACAACACATTTTGAAGAACTCCAGTTACTGTCCAAGGAAAGTAACCTCCCCTTCTTCTTGGAGTTATTGTCCCCATGGGTGCTCCACAAAAGGAGGCTCCAGAGCAGTACATCCAGTGAGGAGGCGGGTGCTGAGGAGACGGATTCAGTGCAGAGTTTAGAACAGCTTCACCAATGGCTGCGTCCACTCTGGAGGCACATACTAAGGCATAGGGGTGTGAGAATGTGTCCTTGAGGGGGACCTTTCTCAGGAGGGCTGTGGGCATGGATTGAGCCCTAGTGGAATGAGCACTGACTTTAGGAGGGAATGCACTCATAGCATGCCAGAATACACCCCAAAACCCATTTAGATAGTCTCTGGGTAGAAACGGAGGGACCTCTCAGCAAAGAAGATGAAGAGCCTGGGGGAAACCCTGAAAGGTACAGTCCTGTGTAGGTAGAGGGCCAGAGCTTGTCTTGTGTCCAGAGTATGGAGACTCTTGCCTCAAAGACTGAGGGCTAGGATAAAAGATCAGTAGTTGGATGTCCTGACCAATATGGAACTCCGACGAAACTTTAGAGAGGAAACAAGGTAACTGTAAGGACAGAACACTGTGTATGGTGGCCCCTAATTCACCTACCCTCCTGGCCATGAGGAATGAAGTCTTGAAGGGCAGATAGAGGAACAAACAGGTTCCCATGGATTCAAAAGGAAGCCCTCTTAACACATGAAGCACTAAATTGAGGTCCCAGAGTGGAGCAGCCTCCTGCACTGGAGGAAACAAGTTAAGGAGTCCCTTAGAAATGTTGCAGTTCTAAGATGTGTGAAGATCAAGAATCCTTCGACTGGCTTGTGAAATGCTGTGAGAGCAGCTAGGTGAACTTTGACTGAACTCAGGGAGAGACCCAGCAATTTCAGGTTTAACAGGCAGTCAAGTGAAGACTTGGCAGGGGACATGGAGCAACGAGAGCACCAAATCCAGAAATGCTTCCACTTCTGCACGTAAGTCTTTCTTGTGGTGGGCTTCCTGCTATTCACCAGAACTGTCTGGACTGCAGGAGGATGCTCCTGCTCTAAGCCCAGAAGCCGTCGAGGAGCCAGGCCTTGAGAGGTTGGGGTGGGTTGTACAGCTCAACTCCTGTATAAGGATGTCTGTCAACAGAGGGAGGCGAAGAGGCAGACACAGCAAAAGACGAGTCAGGGCCAGGAACCATAGTTGTTTTGGCCACGCCTGGGCTCTGAGACTGATCACTGCTCTTTCTTGTTTCACCTTTTTCAGGACTGTGCAGCAGGAGAATTGGGGGATAAGTGTATAGCAGACCTCGAGGCTAAGGGGCACAGAGAGCATCTCCCTTCTTGAGTAGAAATATCAGCACTTTGTACTGAAAGGCATCATAAAAAAGTCTACCTGTGGAAGACCCCAGGTAAGGCAGATCTTACAAAAGACTGAATCATTCAGTTCCCTCTCATGGAAGAATCTGCTCCATGAATGTACAATGGTGTTCTGCAGTGCTGGCAGACAAACAGCTGAAATATCTATCTGACGGGCTCTGCACCAGTTCCACAGCTTTACCAACTCTTTGCATAAGGACTGGGATTTGCTCCTCATTGGTGGTTTATACACTACCTGCCTGCTCAGGTGCCTTACATCACTCTGACCAAATGGCATAACGGACTGCTTGGAGTTCGAAGATATCCATGTGAAGTAATGACCCCCGAGGAAAACCACCTGCCTTGAGCTGTATTATTGCAGAGGTGAGCGCCTCAGCCTGGGAGTGCGGTGTCCATGGTAATGACGTGAGCAGAAGGTAGGCGTGAGAAAGGGGTTCCCACACAGTCTTTGAGGATTTTTCCACCAAGAGAGGGAGCTGAGTCCCATCAGAGGCACTGATACCCTTCCGAACATATTGTGTGTGTTGGGGGCATAGGCTGTCTTGAGCCAGGCTTGAAGGGACCAGGCGCGCTGTCTTGCATGGGAGTTACAAAAGTACAAGCTACCACGTGTCCACAGTTGAAGGCAAGCCCTCGCTGCAGTTCGTGAGCTTTGTTGCAGCGTGGAGATTTGGCTGGACATCGTGGCAAACCTGTCTGCAGGTAGATACAATCTGACTGCCACAGAGTCTAGGGCAACGCTGATGAAACCTATGCATTACACAAGTATCAAAGGCGATTTCTCTATACGTAGGTGAAGGCCCAGGGAGTGGAAAAGGGCTAGGGCCTGCTTGGTAGTGGACTGCACCTTGAGCAAAGAATGACCCTTGAGGAGCCAGTCCCCAATAGGGGAGGATGATTTCCCCCAGTTGCCTAAGGCTGTCTGCTACAATGGAGAGGACTTTCTTAAAGACTCTCAGGGCAATTGACATGGTACCAGTAGTGTGTGGTGCCCACTACAAATCTGAGGAAGTGCCAGCGCTCTGAGTGTATGGCAACATGAAATTAGGCATCCTGGAGGTCGAAGGTTATGAACCAGACCCGGGATCTAATGATGGAATAACTCCTGCAAGGGTGAGTGTCCTGAATACGGAGTGTTTAGAATCCAAAGGTCCAGAATCAGTCACCACCCTCCTTTTCTCTTGGGACCAGGAATAGAATCCCTTTCTGACGAAGCCTGAGGGAACAGGTTCTAATCACCCTCAGTTGCAGGATGGATTTCACCTCCTGCTTTAGGAGCCCCTCATGAGAAGGGTCCCTGAACAGGCAGGGGGAGGAGGTGGGGAGGGGGCCATGGAGCTGAAATGGATGGAGTAGCCCATCAAAATCCCCTCTGGTACCCATTTGTCTGAGGTGACGCGCTCCCAGAAAGGGAGAAAATGGGCAAACTGTGCCCATAGGATGGGTGAATGGAGGGTTGATGCAGCTGAAGATCCGATGGGGAGAGCTTTTGGTCCTTGACTAACGGGTCAAAATGGTTGTTTGGCTGAGGTAGCCAATTGAGAGGTGATGGTGGAAGATGGGTCTTTCTTATGCAGTCTGGGCCTCTTTCTAGGCAGCTCAACCAATCTTTGGGGGTCTGAGAGTACACAGGACATGAGCGTTGCCTTGTCTGAGGCTTGCTGTATCTTCTCTTTGTAGATGGTGCATGTGTGCCGAGAGATCACAATATTGCCTTTAGTCCATGGCATCACTAAAAAGTTTAGGCCCTTTAAAGGACCAGTCTTCCACAGTGTTTTGTAACTCCCTGGGCAGGCTGGAGGACTGGAGCCAGGAGGCACAGGGCATGACTACAGCAGTAGCCATAGAGCACCAGGCTGTATGTGCCACATCAAGGGAAGCCTGCAGCAACACCTTGGTGATTGTCTGACCCTCTGTCATAAGAGCTGGAAACGGCTCTCTCTTGTCCTGAGGCGACAAATCAGTCCAATGGGAAAATTTAGAACAATTTGTAAAGTCACCTTTTGCCATCAGGGCTTGATAGTTGGTGACTCTGAATTGAAGGGAGGCCTTTGAGTAGCTGATACAACCTAGAAGGTCCAGCCATTTAAGCTCCTTATCAGTTGGTGTTGATGTGAAGCAACAGTGCCTACTTCTCTCATTGGTAGTGTTGACGACCAGAGAGTTAGGGATGGGATAGGAGAACAGGTGCTCCAAACCTTTGGCTGGGACATAGTATTTTTTATCCGCCCTCTTGTAGGTGGGTGAGATGGCAGCCGGAGTCTGCTACACTGCACAGGCTGGTAACAGTAGGACCTCGTTGACAGGTTAGGTTCCCCATCCCTGAGGGAAGGCGTGCAGGATGTCCACCGCCAAGTCCTTCTGATCCTGGACTTCCTCTAGAGGAATCTGTAAAGCCTCCACTACGTGCTTCAGAGGATCCTCAAAGACCTTGAATCATCCATGTAGGACGGTGGAGAGGCATAGCTGCCTCATCTGGGGAGGAAAAGGATGGTGGTGTCTTCTCTGTTTTCAATGGTGGGTCTTCTTGAGGAGGACGAGGAGGGTCCTGAGGATGTTATTGGCCAAGAATCTTGGTGGATCCTCTTGTGTGAAGACACCCAGTAGACTCGGTCCCTGCGAGGGGCCCAATGGTTCAAAAAAAGCCCTCTTGGGAGGGGCATAAGGAAAAGGAGTAGGGCCCCAGAAGTGTTTCTGCCAGTGCTGATGGGTCATGCATAGGCTGGTTCCTGGCATCTCATCCTCAGGGAATGTCAAGGGAGGGAGGGTGAAATGGGTCGGTGGGGGAGCCTTGAATGGACACCTCTGAATCAAAGGAAGTGTCCTCTCCCATGTTCAGTGGTGGAGCTAGTGGAGTTAGTACTAGACTTGGATCGGTACTGGGGGACGAACTGGCAATTGTGATGGTGCTG